ACCAACTTTCACCGTGGGTGAGTTGCCCTTGGACTGAAAGAGCTGGGTGGGGAAGAATGGGACCATTAGACTGCTGGTTGGTGACTTAACCGTTCCTCATGTGTCTTTGCTCTAGGGATGTGTGAATGCTGTGACCCTTCCATCACACTTTCTTCTTGTGCCCCTGAATTTGTTGCAACAAAAGTCATATTCAGCCAAACACACTGAACTTTTTGAATGAAATTTGTTCTGAAAACTACTTTTTTTTCCACTTGAAATTCACTTTTGACTGTGATTTTTTCTGAATGACTGATGATGTGCTGTTTTAATCTAAAACAAGCTGGTTGGCAAATGGGAGGGAAAAGAGTCCCAGACCAGCAGTCAGAAGACCTGAGTTCTCGTCCTGCCACTAACTATGTGACTTTGGGCAAGTCACTTCCCCTCTCAGGGACTCAGAGTCCTCTCGGTTAAAGAAGTACACTGCTCTAAAACTGAGAGGCAAAATGATTTCTCTTGTCCTTTTCAGCTCTATGATTCTAAATGACTTGCAGCAATGCTTAAGAATTATAGTAAGAGCAAATGCAGCTTTCTCAGAAAGCAAGCAAAAAAGCTTTCACTTAAATGAACGTTCTTCAGGGAAATTTCTTAGGAAACATCAATAAAGGCTGGTCTCTAAAAAAGGGGTTTCCCTGTTGGATTCACAAGACTGCCAAATAAGAAGGGAAGAGTTTTTCTGGGAAAGACAGTGCTATAATATGATATCCTGGGCCAGAAAAATTTCTCTCAACCAAGATATTTATCTAAAAGAGGAGAACATTCATTCATTTATTGTATAAACATTTATTGAGCACCTACTGTACGGCAGGGACTGAACTGGGTTGTGAGAATTACAGCTGTAAACATGCCAGAGCAGTCGTTCTTGTTGGACTCATAGTCTTGCAGGGAAGACAAATCGATGCATGAGATAATTACAGATTGTGGTTACAGCCATCAAGGAAATAAACAGGGTGTGCTCGAGGGGAGGGCACCTATTCTGGGTCTAGTAGGCAGGCACCTCTCGTAGGAGGTGGTGTTCACCCTGAGGTCTAAAGGATGAGAAGGAGTGGGCTGTACAAAGAATCCCGGGGAGAGCATTTCAGGAAAATGGAAAAGTCCTGGAATGGGACACTAAGGGAGACAATGGCAGAGGCCCAGAGAGACATGATGGGGTCCTGGGTGAGGGTTGTGCTGGTGGAACTGAACAGATTCGAGAAAGACTTTCAAGATGGAAATGACAAAATCTGTTAATGGATTGAATGTGGGGAGTGAGGGATAAGGGGAAATCAAGAGAAGTGTTAAAGTTTTTGGCTTAAGGGACTGAGTGACTGGTGCTATCTGAGATGGGGGACTCTTAGGGAGGAACGGGGTTTCTTGGAGAGAAGAAGCAAGAATTGTGTCTTAAATATGCTGAATTTAAGATACCTTTGAGCTGTCCCAGGGGAGAATCAAAGTCAAGTAGGCAGAGGGACACACAAACCTGGAACTCAGCACAGAGGTCAGGACTCACCCTAGCGATGGGGGAGGCGAGGACGTGAGTCGGTGGCCTTGAGCGAGTGGGGTTGTGGGATCGTCCTGGACTGTGGCTCTCTACCTCAGCTGCACGTTGGACTATGTCGTGAGCTTTTAAAGAATAACTTTCCCCAGGACCCTCTTCCAGAGCTCCCGATTTAATTGAGCTGATGGACATCTATATTTTTCAAAGCTCCGTAGAGGACATTTTTATTCAGCTTGGATGGGAGAGCCACTGATCAAGGCAGGCAGTGCAACTAGAAAAGGAGATCCAGGACCGAGCTTTTGCATAGTCCGAGACTGTGCAACATGGAGGCAGCAGTTCTCCATTCTTTATAGCTTCCTCCTGCTTGGAAGATCCGCTCTTTGGCCCTTTGGATGAGGTTTGGTTCTCCCTGTACAGTGGCAGAGTACCCTGTCCTTGATTGAAGTCGGTGTGCCCTTTGTCTTCCGAGTCCCCAGTTTCCGAAGGGACGGCTTGGGTGCTGAGGATTTAAGTACGTCTTCTTTCAGCCCGTCATTCCTGTGTCACCCTGATGTGGTTTAGCGGTAGCAGTTATTTGTCATGGTTGAAAGATGGAGAACCCGATCGGCTTTTGCTCTTCATTCTCCTGCAAGAATTTTGCTGTGGTCGTGGTGGTGGCTGTGAAGGGGCAGACATTCTAGGAAGAAAAATGGGTATGTTTTTTGTATAGATGCAGCTGCAGATGTTCCCCGAATTACACTAGGGTGTGTGTAGATACTCGGTAGCTTGCCTTCGAAGATCATTTCCAAAAGGTGATTGAGGCTTTTCAAATTTCACCTGCTCTTAAATTTCTCACACACATCCGTACTCCTCCAGGTTCTTTATTCTTGCCTACGACCTCCTATTACTGCCCCGAAGCACCGGACTCAGAGAAAATAAACGTGTCCTCACGCATTTGTGTACTGAGTTCACATCTCATTCGGTCTCCATGAAAACCTAACGAAAGGGCTGTAGAAAGCAGAGGCAAAGCTTATTAAATTTTCTTGTGACCCATGGCCCACATAAAGCCTCAGTATGTAAAGGAACCATGCAAGATGGTGTAGCCCTCCCCGCTCCCCCAGCCCTCAGGGAATCTGCCATTCCAAAAATATGGCCTATTAAATAACTTCCAGGGACAATTCCATAAGCTTTCTTGTTAATGTTTACAGCTGTATCAACACCACAGCAATCCATTATTTTTTTTGGTATGTGTATGAGGAACAGAATCCATGGATCTAAGTGTGACAAGTACTGTACGATTCTCTAATCGTGAACCTTGTAAGACACAGCGAGGTATAGTGATGGAAGTTTGTTTAGGGTAATGGGTGAGCTGTTAACTTTGTAACTGAATCCTTGCTGCTGCTTCTGCCTGCCTTGAAAACCAGCCTGACACCTCCCAGGGCTTAGTCCTCAGGTGCCTCACCTTGGCGATCTGAATATTTTCAGTCCTTCGTAGCAGCTGGGAGAGGAAGGGAGAAGCTGGGGTCCAGCATGGATGGTGCCACATGATGTATGGAAGGCTGAGTCCACTAGGACCCGGGCTGCATCCTGGTCCAGACTGAGCTAGTCAATAGCTAAGACCCATGGGCTAGTTGTTTTCTCTCTGCAGGCCTTGGTCACTTCATCTATGAACATCTCACTTCCTGGGGTCTGGGAGCTGTTTTGGGTAATCCCTAATAGATTTAGGGATTAATCCTTTAGAGTTTTTGTTTTGGGTAATCCCTAATAGATTTAGGGAATAATCCTTTAGATTTCTAAAATCTATGTGTAATCTGGATTAAAAAGCCCTAAATGGTGGGGAAAACGACTATGAGTAAGCAATGAGTTTCCCTAGTTTTTCCTGATCATTTTTCTCCCAATCTTAGCCCCTCATTTGTAGCACATGCCCCAGACTTACACTGGCAGGAAATAGGGTGGTGGGCGCATTTCAGTTAATGGGCCTTAGTTGGAACATGTTTGGCTGGGGAGACAGCTACACTCCTATTACCAAACCTTGGCTTCCTGTCTGTTTTCTTTGGGCTGGGTAGGCAATGAAAAAGGAGACAGGAAAATACATTTGGGGGCAAGTAAAATAAGGAATTTGTCTTAGGAAGACAGCTTATAGTTGGGAAATTCTAATGTTCAGCTTAACCCTGTCCTGATATATTCCTCTTGTCCTGTACTAAGTGGGAGATGAGGTGTTCTTGCTACTTGTAGAATCTACCTTCCCATTCTCAAAGGCTCTTAATAATCCTCCTTCAAGGTTTTCTTCTGTTATAGATACTACTCCTAATGCCCTTAATTTTTCCTGCAAATTCTTGTTCTAGTCATCATCTTAAATGGCTCTTCTTTGAATCAGCTTCCGTTACTTAACATTTTACTAAACTGTTGGGGCAACATACCAGCGCTTCACTGGTACAGAATATGGAATATATTTCTGTTTAGGCAGTAGGCATTATTGTACTTGTTCACCATAGTCTCACTCTACGGATTTACACTTAACTAATGTCGCATCAAGATTCAGGTGTTTTCCAGTTATACCTGCACCAAGGCAATACCATGCTCTTTGCTAGGAATGATTGGATGATTTTTAAAAAGTCTTAGTACCTTGGTTATAGTTCAACTTACATAGTTCTTTAATATCTAGAATTTCTGTGGATTTTACACTTGAATAAACTAGAAGAGAGACAAAGTGAGGTTTTTGTTTCTGTTTTTTTAAATAGTGGATTCTCAACATTCACATGGTAACCCAAAGGGTATTTTTCAGTTTCTCTTACAGAACCACAGTGCTAGATTTAAAATAAAAAAAGCGTTCTCTCTGATTTAACATAGTTTATTATGCGCTTTCAGGCTTTGACGTATCACAAAATATCCACATTCCTCTCGAGGATTTGAGTCTCCTTGCCTGTATTTCTGTTTTCCTCTTAAAGGGGTTTGAGTTTTAATTTTTCAGAAAGGAGTCTCCATAAGGTACAGTGGTAACATAAAAAAGAAAAAGTCACTTATGGTCATCATGGAAGTGTCCCTTTAACAGATGTGTTTGTCTCTGTTTCTGCCCCAAGTATGGCCCACTGTGTGTCCCATGCACAGATTCTCAACTTTCAGGGGAGGTTTCCTCCTTCATGAAATGAGCAAACACAGCCCAGGACACAGTCACCTTTCCCAGCCTCCCCGAGAGGCCAGAGGGGGTGCCCAGAGCATCCCTCTTGGGCTCTGGTGTCTGGGCCTCACCGCTGATGCTTGGCCCTGAGTCACCCTCTGGGCCCCTCCGCTCTCCATTCCTAGAACAGAACCAGGGATGCTTGCCACCTGACGATGCTTATTACAAAGCCCTTTGAAATGGGAGGCATTATATAGACGCATCATTATAAAGATCAGTATTGACAATTCCTTGGCTTAAACCCCTAGTATGTATGTTCACGTATCTATTTAGCATGGTCAATTGTTCAGCTAATTAATATGCTTTTATTTTATGATTTGCTGTTTCCAGGGCACAGACAGAAGCTTGATGACTCTAAACCTAGTTTGTTCTCTGACCGCCTCAGTGATTTAGGGCGCATTCCTCATCCCAGTATGAGAGTAGGTGTCCCGCCTCAGAACCCACGGCCCTCCCTGAACTCTGCACCAAGTCCTTTTAATCCACAAGGACAGAGTCAGATTACAGGTAAGACAGACTCATAGGTCTCACTTTCGCAGACTCCGGCAGGCTGGGGGTGAGGGGCTGCCTGACAGATGAGACGCGTTCACTTCAAAGCTTCTGGAGCTGGGAAATGGCTTATGATGAAAGAAATCAACACTTGAAGACACTGGCCTTCTTTTTTTTTCTTTTTAATAAAAACCAAATACCAGTATCCACTAACTTTGGGATAAAATTTGGGGGAAGTTTCTACTGATGCTGTCCTCTGTAGCGATGTCAGTCTGCACACTGGTGGGACGGTAATACCATGCTGTCTGGGAGAATGTTTGTTGTCAGTTTCTATATTGTGTCCAGGTGGTGCAGGGGATAACATCACACCCTCACTATTAGAAAATTAGCATTACCATCTCAGATCTGGGCTAATGTTTCTTACATGTATAACTGTTTCATTAAGTTGGCTGGAAAATTGCCCTGGGCTAACAGGTAGCCTTAATTGCTGGTTATAAGGCAAGACCAAGGAGCGGCCCATCGGGCAGACAGAAGTCCCCTCTGATTCACATTGAGCTCCCGTTCTCCATGTGACATTTCTCTTTATGCATTCCAGTGTGCTTCTTGCTTTACCTTTCTTCTTAAAAATTAATATCAGCATCGCACTACAGACCAATCATTCACATTTGGTGCATTAAGACTCCCAACCCTTTTTTTTTTCCTGCGCCACTTGGGCGAAAGCAGATCTTCCTGTAGGACTAGTCTGCTTGCTTTTACGCCACGGTGACAAGAGAGGGTGCTGATCATCATAGGCCTTTCATTTGCAGATCACAGCACTGAGAGCAGCAAGGAACTCAACATGTCATCTAGTTACTATTGTTGGCAGAGCGGCTAGATGGGAAGGAAAATAACTCAAAATGTACAATAAACTCTCAACTTGGATCTTGTCTAATGGTTAGGTTTTTGTCTGTAGCCGTTAGGTTTTGAGTGTCTTTAACGGTTTATAAGCATAATTGTTTATAAACGAAATTACCTACCTCTCCTTCTGTCCTGCCCTTATTAGGTATATGTCTTTTTGGATATTTACTTAGGTTTCTGTGGGTCTATGTGTATTAGTCTGAATATATGGATATGCCTGAGTATGTATTTTTAAAATAATATAGAACTATAAAAATAAAATATCTAAACACTGAAGAGAACCAGATATCTGCATGAGAGAAGAAACATAGAACTCTGTGAAGAATAGCCATGTGTTAGGTTTAAATAAATCTCCAGTTATTGAAATGTAGGAGTCAGGTTAGTGTGTTCACTAGACATGGGTCCTTGATGAAAATGCCAGGGTGAAATTCACACCAACTTGTGAATTTGAAGCTTGTCGCTATGCGGCGTGCTACTACATTTAAAGTAATGGACTGAATTTTTTTATTTTTTATTTTTTTATTGACATATAGTTTTTACAATAGTATATTAGTTTCAGATGTACAACGTAGTGATTCAAAATTTTTATTGATTATACTCTGTTTATAGTTATTATAAAATATTGGCTGTATTCGCCATGCTATACAATACATCCTTATGGCTTATTTATTTTATATACAGTAGTTTGTTAAAGCGATGGATTTTAGATCATTGATTAAGGTTCATAATAGCTGTACTTTTGTCTTTATAGTAATCCTTAGATTCTCTGTGTGTGTGTGTATGTGTGTAGAAGTATGTGTATACATATATAGAAGTGTTTATATATGATTTGTAAGGGTCTTATGATGGCTAATAAGATATATGTTCTATGATTTGGCAACCCCTGGGTTCTTTAAATGTGTGATTTCTATATTTTAATCCTTAACTGTTTACTAATTATATTTTGCTGATGGCTAAAGCCTTTAAAATGGCCTTCGGAACATGTGTGCTGCTAGATTCATTTAAGAAGATGCTTTGCTCAAGGCTTTGTCCTCAAACCTAAAGATGACACCAGAAAATAGGACCCAGAGGACACTTTAGAATCCAAAGCTACCTTAGATATCATTAACCGAAAGCTAGGTAAACGTTGTGAAGAGGATCTACATTTTAGCAGCACCCCTGACCCCACATATGAGTGCAGAGAGGGAGGCTCCAAAGAGGCCCGGGGCACGTTGCTGCCGGATGAGCATGTGAGCCGAGCAAAAGCCTGGCCACCTCCACCGACCATGCTCACCTCCAGGCATCAGCCTCCTCCCCGTCAGGAGGCTCACGGAGGTTAAGCTCCTTGTCTGCAGTTTTGTTTTTTTTTTTGCAGTACGCGGGCCTCTCACTGTTGTAGCCTCTCCCGTTGCGGAGCACAGGCTCCAGACGCGCAGGCTCAGCGGCCATGGCTCACGGGCCCAGCCGCTCCACGTCATGTGTGATCTTCCCGGACCGGGGCACGAACCCGTGTCCCCCTGCATCGGCAGGTGGACTCCCAACCACTGCGCCACCAGGGAAGCCCCAGGAGGACTCTTAACCACTGCGCCACCAGGGAGACCCCTTGTCTGCAGTTTTACAGCACGTTAGAGACAGAGCAGAATTCGGTCTCTTGACTCCTAAGGCAGTATGTTTGGTCTTATACCATATCATGCTGCAATTCCATCATGATCATTTAAAAACAGTATTTCAATATTCACTGGATGTCTTCTTAAAAATGAAAATATCGCTTTCTGGAATCATAGTGCAAGAGCATTAGCTCTGCATTTTGGGATGGTGGCATCAGTAGAACTGATTCATAGATGAATCTCCTCATTTTTTAAAGCATCCACAAGGTATTGGGCCCTACAGCTTCCTTGAGCTTTCCAAATTTGCCGACTTACACACGCATTCATGCTGCCCCTACCCACTGTTGGCCACATGCCCTTTCTTTAAACCCCCGCATGTCGTCAGTGAGACAATACAAGTATCTACCCATAACCAAGGATGTGCGGAGTTCTACGATGACCTGGATTATTAGGACAACCCAGAAACATCCGTAGCAGCAGCAACTTCAAAGTGAATTGAATAGATCATTTTTTCCTCCCTGGATTAATTTTCTTATTTATTTAATAAGTGTAAGTTAGAGTGAACCACACGTAGAGAATTGGGTCTTAGGGAACATGGGGGAGAGCAGAAAAGTTCTGTCCTTGAGTTAAAGTCTAAGTGAAGAGTTATCTTTCCCAGCCCGTGCACAGCCACATTCTATCCCAAGGCTATAATGTACACATCTTCCCTCTGTACCCCCTGACTTACACTGTTCTATCTATGGCGGTCTCTTTCTGTTGACAAGATCCACCCATCCCTCAAGGTCACTGTTATCTTCTTCATGCAAGTCTTGGAACCTTCATCTAGAGGCTGCCTCTCCATCCTCTAAGCTTCAGTTGAGATAGCCTTATTTTATGGCTTCTGTGTATCTCCCCTCTAGATTAGAAATTCTCTGAGGGATTTATTCCAGGCATTTATTTCCTTTTGTGCCTAGCACAGTGGTAGCTAGCGTCTCATTAAATGTTGAATGAATGAAAGTTTAGATAAGAAGACATCATTGCAAGAAGGGTTGGACTATCATGCCTGGTTCGTGTTGACCGTTCTTTCTGATTTCCCACCCCAGGGTGCCTTTGTTCCCTTCCAATGAACAGTAATAGCAGAAATCACATTTCAGTAGAACACGTACATGGCTAAACCATTTGGTATCATTTCAGTTTAGGGTCTACATTTTCACATGATTAAATTTCAATTCTCCTTAAGAGACTGGATTTTGTAACTTCTTTGCAATATGCCACACCTGCATTTTAGTTCACGTAATCCTTTGGCTAAAGGTATTTGTAACAGAAAGGGCCCAGTTATCTCTCATCGATCGGCTTGGCTCTCTTGATATCTCAAGCTCTTACCCCCAAACTGTAGACAGTGATCATGGTTGTATAGTCACTATGAGCTCTCCTACATGCCAGCATAGAAGGCAAGTCGAACTCCCAGAAGAGTGAAATGAAATTAGGAATTGTAAGGTGAAGAAGTCCTAAGCCTTTAGTGTTTCACATTAGCGTGTCTTACAGTTCCTAGGGCTCAAGGTCCTGGCCATATGGTGGGCTGGCTTCTTTGCAGTGCGGGTCTGACCTGTCACTCTGCTGAGGTCTTTAATGGTGACGTTCTGCCTGAGGGCCCAGGCCCTCCCCATGGCTTCCTGAGGAAGTTGCTTCCTCTGCACCTCTTTTTTTTTTTTTTTTTTTAATCTTTCAGACGTGGGTTGCCTGTCTCTGGGTGCTAGGAAACACCTAGCTTGTCACAGATGTCCACTTCTTTTGATTCAGAGCATGGTGGTAGCAGTGGAGTAGGGAGACTGTGTTAGGAGATGTTGCTCAAGATAAGCACTGTTTTGAACTCAGTACTCTCTGGATGGGTGAGCCGCATCTAGAGGAAAAAAAAGCTGACTCAGGGCCTGGGAAATTCATGTAACCTTGGGGGTGGGCATTCTGCGATTTTATTGAGTGCTTATTTTTTGCCAGGCATTAATGTAAGAGAACAAGGTAGTATAGTTACTCTTCACCAGGGGCTCACATTTTAGTGACATAGAGTCAGCGATTGGGTCAATAAGCATACATGCAAGATGATTTCAGATAATAATAGAAGCTTTGGGGAAATGAAATAGAGTAGTGGGAGAGAGAGCAGTGTAGGAGGGGAAGAAGCTAATTTTGGTTGGAAAGTTTGAAGAGCTTTGAAGATCTCTGAGGAACAGCATTTCTGGACGGGGGGGGAAACTCAGGCAAAGGCTCTCAGGGAGCAGTGATGCAGTGTGTGCAGGGGACAGAAAGGTCAGGATAGGTAGAGTGGAGTGAAAAAGGGGAGCGGGAAGGGGCTCGATTAAGGAGAGTCTTCAAGGCCCTGGTAAGGAGTGTGGGTTTTGTCCAGACCACAGTGGGGCGCTATTGAAGGATGTGAAGCAAGAGAATGACATTATCTAATTCACATGCTTTTAAGAACTCCTTTGGCTGCTGTGTGAAGCATGGATCATAAGGGGGCAGTGGTAGGAGCAGGGTCATCCTTTAGGAAGTGACTGCAGTAGCCCC